TAAAATCATCAAAATACCGAATATAGTGGGTACCGTTATATGGGGGCTATACGAAGGCGTGGAGCTGCACAGACAATTTTCTGATATGGGCTAAAGTATCCATTACGAACTTCACATGCGAAATTTGAAACAATCCCGGTAAATAATGTCCTTAAAATCATCAAAATACCGAATATCGGGGTGTACGGTATATGTGGGCTATACGAATACGTGGGCCTACATGGCCCATTTTCTGTTTTATGCGGAAGTATCTATTACGAAATTCAAATACCAAATTTGGAACGATTCCGTTAAATAATGTCGCTAAAATCATCAAAATACCGAATATCGGGGGGTATCGTTATATGGGGGCTATATGAAGACGTGGACCTACATGGCTCATTTTTTGACTTAGGATGTAGTATCCATTACGAACTTCAAATACCAAATTTGAAACGATTCCGGTAAATAATGTCGTTAAAATCATCAAAATACCGAATATCGGGAGATACTGTTATATGGGGGCTATATGATAACTTGGACCTACATGGCCCACTTAACTTAACCTGCCTACTGGCAAAATATACATGTGTGCAAAATTTTAGCCTTCTATCTCAATTTGTTCGAAAGATAGCGTGATTACAACAGACAGACGGACATGGCTAAATCGTCTTAGAATTTTACGCTGATCAAGAATATATATACTTTGTTGGGTCTGACATAAGTATTTCGAGGAATTACAAACGGAATGACAAAATTAATATACCCTCCATAGTATGGTGGAGGGTATAATAATAATAGTAATAATAATAATAATAATAATAATAATAATAATAATAATAATAATAATAATAATAATAATAATAATAATAATAATAATAATAATAATAATAATAATAATAATAATAATAATAATAATAATAATAATAATAATAATAATAATAATAATAATAATAATAATAATAATAATAATACCAAGTTTAAGATTATTCTATTAAAAAAATGAATCTAAAATCCCCAAAATAACGAATATTTAAAGGTACGGAATATTTGGAGATTCAGTTATATGGAACATATATTGCCATTTTTCTACAAGTATGTTTTTCAACAAACTGGGAATACAAGCCTGCCAAGCAAAAATTAGTACTTTTTAATTATTCTCTCAGCTGATATACAATTAGTCCGATTTCTTTTCACAGTGCAATTAGTATTTAAAATAAAATAATGTTTATTGTACCACTACAACCAGTTCTCCCAACAAAATTCGCTTAAGTTCGAGTAAAGAGTGCAATTCGCTCGAATTCGAGTGGGACCATCTCTTAGAGTAGCTCGAATAAGAGCAGTTATGATTTGCTCCTTTTAGAGTGGAGGTACATTTTGCTGGAAGATTCTACTCCTGCCGAGCACTCTTTTAGTTTGGCCATACCGTTGTTTTCTTTTACCCATGTGTATTTCTCAACCTACAACTGAAAATGAAACAAAACCAAACTCACTGAAGAGCATTATCTGCAGTCTGTACAAACAAAGCATACGATAGAGTAGTTGCTTTAGTTGTTTTTGTACACAAAATCCAACAGCCAGACACGTTTGTCGTTTTTCTCTTTTGAACACACAAATCAGCAAACAAAATAATTTTTCCCACTCGTTTTCACTCGAAGAGCAAACTCTTACTCTATTTTGAGCGATTCAACTCCCACTCCTATTTCTCAAAAAGGGATGAGAAAATTCCATATAAAACTCCCACTCTTCAAGTACTTCCGCTCGCGAACAAGTTTCATTACCGTGTGAGAGGAAAGTCGAGCAAATCTGTGCCCTGCCCACAAATCGATAGCATTATGAATTACATCGGTACTTTATATTCGATGGGAGCATCGACTGGTGGTTTTATTTTCTGTGAATACTTTTAAAAGTACTTTTCAAAACTTTTTCTAAAGAAATAAAAAGTTTTTTTTTTTTTATTTCGGATAACGATATTATAATATGAAGGTTTGTTCCACTACACCAGTCAACCATTAATTGTTTTTGAAAAATGTGAGACCTTCATATTACAAGATCGTGATCATGAACATTTAGTCATCCAAAAAAAAAAAAGAAATAAATAAATAAAAAATCACCTTTTCATTTCTTCAGAAAAAGGTTTTGAAAAATTCTTCTAAAAGTATGCACAGAAAATAAAAACAAAGGAATCAGAGTAAGATCTCCTCTTCATTCAAGGCATCATGTTGCTCAAAGATTTAAGTTTGAGCTTAACTGTAATGAAACATCTTTTACTTCTCTAATTCCAAAGGAAAGTACTTTGATTTTCAATGATTTGTATTTAGTACAATTTTTCGCTTTTTATACCCTACAACACTATGTGTTGGGGGTATTATAAGTTTGATTGGGCCAAAAATTATGTAACACCTCGAAATATTGGTTTCCCATATAGGAAAGTATATATGGATCTTCCTAGCTCGCCGAGCTGAGTCGATCTAGCTATGTATGTCCGTCCGTCCGTCTGTCCATGTTAATTTGTAATCACTCTACAGGTCGCAATTATGGCCCGATCTTCACGAAATTTAAAATGGAGGTGGGTCTGGGGCCAGAATAGAACCCTATTTCGTTTGGAGATGATCGCCAAATGTTTAGGGGTTGAAATGGACCAAATACTGAAAAAATGTCGGATTTTGCAGTAGCTATACAGGTCACAATTATTTAATATTATAGTTTAGGGCGGGGAAGAAGCCTACCAATTTGGGTGGTCATCGGATAATATTTAGCGGGTAAAATAGACCATATATTTTGTGTTGAAAAAATTCAAAAATTTTCATTAAACCGCGAATATTTTAAATCCCGGCGAAATCACAAAGCCATCAAGGTTACTTCTGACCTTTACGTTGATGTTATTATCCAACAAATCGGATATATAGCAAAATATGTGCGATATATATGTCTATCAAAGGAGATATGCTTGAAAGATCTCTTATATGTCGAGAACGGCTGAACTGATTTCGACAGTTCTTGTTAATTCAGAATGGCCTCTTGGCAGGAAACAAAAAACGTCTAAAAAAATCGCATAAAAATATCTCTCTAAAGATGAAAATATTGATTTTGTAAAATTTTCTCATATTTTTTCAATTTTGTCATATTTTTGGCATATTTTCATTTTGAATTAAACATTTGGTAATATTTCTACAGCTAACAAAACTAAGTAGTTAGGATATCAGGATATCATATACAGATCGCATTTATGGCCCGATCCTTACGAAATTTTGCATGGGGATAAGATGAGGGTCAGAATAGAAGACCATATATTTAGGGGTTGAAATGGACCAAAAAACTGCAAAATTGTCGGCAGGTCGTAATTATCGCCCGATCCTCACGCACATTTGAATGGGGGTTACGGGCATTGCAAAAAGCCAAGCAGTTTTGGATGGCCATCCATAAATATTCAATGTGTGAAATAGTCTGCCAACTTTTGTAGACAAAATACGAAAAGGCCCATTCCAGTGACTTTTTGGAGAATTCACAAATACAGGGAAGACGCACTTCTGACCATTTCGTTAGGCTGATTTCGTTGAAGAATATAGTCAAATGTCTGTATCTCATATAGATGCGTTTCAGTCAAAAACCAATAATTAATGTTAATCTTTTGCCACTTCTGAGAGATTATAAGTCTTTGGGAAATATTGGTTCCAGATCTAGGAAGACCATTTACGTGCAACATCTACCAATAAATTGGAAATGAGCAAATTAGTTTAAGTTGCTATTAATCGAAAATTAGAGAACGAAACCTGATGGTTTTCTTTTATTATTTGTCACAAAATCTTGTGGAATTCTTTCGAGTATCTCGCCTATATAAACTGTATCACTTATTATAGTGTTGTAGGGTATTCAACGGTCGACCCCGCTCGACTGTAGCCTTTGCTTGTTCAAATTAAAATAAATTATAAAGAGAAAATTTCATTTTAAAATCGTTGTGTTTATTTTTCAATATTTGATTTTTATTGTTTGTTGTTGTTTTTTTTTCATACAAATTAAGACTGGGAAGGAACACATGTTATAGACTACATGTAAATACTTAAAATCGTAAAAAACTTATATAAAATTTAAAATATATAGAAAATCACACGATGTTAATAACGTCATTTGAATGAAATTATCCGAAGTGAAGCAGATAAAAAATATTCAAAATATTGTCCAACAAAAATATTCAATAAAAAAAATATGCTTACCAACCTATTTTTGTTAACAAGGGAATGGTGAACGACAAAATTAGTTATATTTAGGCCCAAAAAAGTCGATTAAGTATTTTTTTAAACGAATTTTTCTGACCGAAAAATAACTACTTATATCGTGCGATATATACTTGTTAAAATAATGGGTTGGTAAGCACATATGTAATGAATATTTTTGCAAGAACATCATTAAAATTCTAATATTGAAATATCTTTACAAAGAAGCCAATTGAGGTTTCTATATAAATTCATTAAATTAATCAATTTTGAATGAAATTAAATAATATATTTTTACTTATAAAGTAACCTCAATTTTTTCTTTGAAAATATGCATATTTTGGAAATATCGAAAATTAATATCAGACCAATTCACTTTAAACGTTACTGATTTTGACATGATTAACACCGTGTAGAAAAATTAAACAAAAAAAAAAAAAAAAAAACAAAATTTTTTCTTATATATAAAACACATAAAAAATTATATTTATAAATATATCTTACTTATATCAAGTAATACTTAGTAATGTAAAAAATATACAAAAATTATAATTTGTAAACTTAAATTAAAAATTATATTATTTTTTTATTCTATTTTATTTATTTATTTAATATTATTTTATTACTTATAAAGTAGATACTTTGGTTTTACACTTGTGTGTGTGTGGGTGAGAGAGTCTGTGTGTTTGTGTATGGGTGTATGAATTTAAAACTATGCATTTTGTTTTTTTGCTTCTTCTAATTAATAATTTAATTAATTATTATTTATTTTTTGTTTTACTAAAAATTATTTGGATTTTCTTCACCTCTCTTCGTCTTCTTCTGTTTTTTTGTTGTTTTACTTTCAGTTTTCAAACTAAAATACTAATAATAATAAAAAATAATGAATGCTTGCTTCTTTGTATATATGTGAGTATGTATGTACGTATGTATTTATGTTATGGCCTAAATGTAATGTTTCCTATGTATATATGTAGGTGTATGTTTTGTTTTTGTGTAAATGAAATAGTATTTTACAAATGGTATAATTTTTCTTTTTTGTTTTTTTTTTTCTGGGGGAGGAGATGTTTCTTTTTTTTTTTTTCTTATCGGATGCCTTAATTTTAAATGCTGCTCGTATTAGGTTTTTTCCTTCTTGAAATGTAGTTAATGTTTTCTTTGTGTGTGTGTGTTTTGTATTTTTTTCTCTTTCTATGATTCAGAGGAATTTTTCTTTCCATTTTTCGCGTTTTGTTTTTGGTCTTTGGTCAAGACCTTTATATCTTTGGTAGTTTTCTTATTTTCGAAATTTTTCTTTTAGGTTATCTTTTCTAGTTTCCATTTACTTCCATGAATATCCATTCATTTTGCACACAAGAATGGACATTCCGGTTCCATCTTCGTCGTCTTCTTCTTCTACTTCTTTTACAGTTTGCTTAGCAATATTCCAATTGTTTTCTCATCAACATCATCATCATCACGGAGTGAATGTCTTCATATTCAGGATATTTTGTTTTGCTTGGGTTCTTTCAAATCAAATCAAAAAATTTTGTAATTGCATTTCGCCATCGCGTTTTTTTTTTTTTGTTCGTATTTTTGGGGGGTCTTTTCTCAGTTTTGGTTTTTTCTTTGTCAAGTATGGAAATTGTAGTCTTCATGGAGGAATTTGTGATATTTTTTTGTTTTTCTTATAAAGGGTCTCTTTTGTTGTTATTGTGGATTTCTGCGGTCTAGGTATGTGGTGTGTGGTGATTACATTTCTGTTGTTCACTTACAATTCTAAATCGGTGTGATTATTGGCTTCGGGTCCATACATGTTGGCCAGTTTGTCGAAACGTGGCCCCCATGCACCCAGGTAATCATATTCCTGGCATTCGTCATCGGTTCCTGGAATTTAGAGGAAATACAAATTTCATATTAGAATTTGAGGAGTTTTTTATTCAAAAATTATGAGAAAAATATGGCTAATGAAAATTTAACAGTAAAACGTGGCTATGAGGAACATAGGATGTATAATTTAGTTTAAATATAATTAAATGACTTCTAAACTGATATTTTTATGCCATCATATATGGATTAAAATCCTTTGATCCCCTTTTGGAAAAATCGGCTGATTAATCAAAATTATTAAAAATTGAAAATTCTGTGTTTTTCTCGAATAGCTGTTACCCATGGTCCATGGCCGAACTTTCAGATATTTATCAAGGAATTTATTTAATTTTAGAAAATAACCAATACCACACGTCCAGTTCTCGTACATTTTTTTTTTTATTTTTTTTTTAAGATGAAAAAACAGCAACCAACTTCAGACTGCTGTCATTTCTAATCCGAAAGCTGTTAAAATTATTCCTGTGACATATCATTATATTGTTTACGAACGTACAAAAGCATTTTGATGAGAATTTTCCAGAAAAAAAGTTATTCGAGATGGAATTCAAGCGTGATAGTGTGATTTCTTTATATTTGCCTGGAAAACCACAATTGGCTATCGTTAGAGCACTCCAGCATTTAAATGTGAATAAATCTTTTGTGGCTCGTACGATCCTTCGTTAGTATGACCGTTGCCCGATGTCAAGGAAGTTTACGGAGCAGAAATGGTTCGAAATGTAAAGAAGCGACCTGATCGAAACCCGCGTCGCAGTGGCTGAAAAATGGCTCGTGAGCTGAACATATCGCAATATTTCATTCGGAAAATATTGAAAAATGAGCTCAGGGTAAAGCCATTAAAATTCCAAAAAGTGCAAAAACTTACACCGCAACAGAAAGAAAATAGACTCAAAAGACCTAAAGCGTTACTTCTCTTGGCCGAAAGTGGTGAGCTGCCGAATTCGGTTTTCTTTTCTCCGATGAGAAAACATTCGTTGTCCAGCAGTTTGTAAACAAACAAAATAATCGTGTTTACTTGCCAAAGATGTCAGCTGAAAATGTCCACCTTCGGTTGGCCACTAGAACTCAAGCGCCTGCCATGGTGATGGAGTGGGCCGCCGCCATAACGACCGTAGCATCAGAATAAATGCCTAATATTAAAGCCTTGGGCACGCAAACATTTTGACGGCAGACCTTGGACATTCCAATAGGACTCAGCACCATCGCACTCAGCACGCGCCACCCAAAAATGGTTGTTAAATCAGAATCCTCGCTTCATTTCCATCGCCCAATCACCTCCAAAATCTCCGGATACCAATCCGTTGGTCTATTGTGTCTGGAGTATTTTGGAAAGCAATGTTGGCACTAAAAAATACCAAAGTGTCGATCACCTCAAGCAAGCGTTTCGCCGGGAATGAGCCAAAAATACTGTAGAGCAACATTTGGGTAGCGTGTGACGGTTTCATTGGCCGTTCGAAGGCCATAATTCGTGCCAAAGGTGACCAATTTGAACAAATCTAAACTTATTCTAAAATTTGATGCTATTTTCGACATTTTTTTGCTTTTATTCAATACATTTAAAAAAATGAAAATTTTGGCGTTTGACTTTGTTGCTGCTTTTTTATTTAACCCAGTATGTATTCAAATATTTAATAATGTATGTATTTATTCTATTTTATTTTTTATATATTCTTGTTGAATACATGTTTATTAAATTCATTCATTTTCTTGATGTTATAATATTTTTTTTTTTTTTAATTAACAAGAATTATATATTCGAATGTTTAATACTTTATGTATTCATTTGTTATTTTTCCTTTTTTTATATTTATTTTTCTTTTCTCTACTTGTTTTTTATATTTTTATATATCTATAAAGTTCCTTATAACCACGTTCCACTGTATTTGAATTTTTAACATATATTACTTTTCTTAAATTTACAAAAATGTATTCATTATTGGTTTACTATGCTCCACACATTCATTTATATTTCTTAATTTGTTTTACACCCAATATTCGGCTGTATTAGTATGTAGTTTTAGGCGTAGGCCTGGAATATTAACAAAACACATAGAATGAATCAACAAAATTTATTAACTTCACAACACGACAAACTAGTTTTTTACTACTACTTCGGCTACTTGAGCTATTTACAGCTAAAATCGATTTTATTCGCAGGTTTTGGGTTAAGAGGGAATTTTAAAATATTTGCAGGGCATTTTTTAAATCAGAGCTATTGGGGTTTAAAAGTCAAAAATAATTTAGAGGGAGGAATACAAAGTTTGGCAAACACAAAAAAAATAGTCCTTAAAAGCACCTGTAAATATCAATCCAGAGCCTACGTTTTCAACACGATTTTCTTAAAAGGAATACGTTTTCCTTAAGCCCCTAAAAACGGTACCCTGCTATTTTATTCGTTTTGTTAATTCTAGTTATGTTTCCATCCGGAATGAATGGAATTGAATATTACCAAGGACCGACATTGAAATAGCTCTTATATTATGAAAACTCCCATTTTTGGAAGTTTGCAAGACAAAATCACCTAACCGGATGAACAATAATTTGAAATATCTGATTCGTAATTTATAAAAACATTAAAAAATGCTCAATGTTTGAACATTGAAGAGCAACATTTTATTATTTTCGAGCATTTAGCCCTATTATTCATTTGGTTGTATTAGTTTTCAGTATACAATTTTCGGACCACACAAAAATTTACGACGCTATAATTTAGTTTTAATTTAGTGCTAAGAGCAAGAGGGCTACATCTAAAATTGTAGCTTGGATCTGTATAGCCATATCCACAATCACATATGGATCTTCTGTGGGAAGATCGATATGCGGAATTTGAAAAGTCCTTGAGTCGCCCCCTTAAATGGGGCACGTTGAAACAATGGATTTTCATTGAAGGTATACGACAACAAGATCCTCTGGTATTTTCTACATACAGAGTGATATGAAAAAACTGCAACCAACGTCAAACTGCTGTCATTTCTAAGCCACTCGTCCGACAGCCGTTAAAATTATTCCAGTGACAGCTCATTATATAGTTTACAAGCGCACAAAAGCATTTTCGTGAGAATTTTCCCAAAAAAATGTTATTCGTGATGGAATTCAAGCGTGATAGCGTGATTTCTTTATATTCGGCTGGAAACCCACAAGTGGCTATCGTTAGAGCACTCCAGCATTTAAATGTGAATAACCGGTAGCACTGGTAGCGCAGCCCGACGTCAAGGATGTGGAAGGAAGAAAACAGCAACATCAACAGAAATGGTTCGAAAAGTAAAGAACCGACTTGATCAAAACCCTCGTCGCAGAGCCCGAAAAATAGCTAGTGAGCTGAACATAAGGCAATATTCCATTCGGCAAATATTGAGAACTGAGCTCGGGGTGAAGCCATTGAAATTCCAAAAAGTGCAAGAACTTAGACCGCAACAAAAAGAAAATAGGCTCATAAAAGCTAATGAGTTGCTAAGCTTGGCCGAAAATGGTGAACTGCCGAATTTGGTTTTCTCCGATGAGAAAACATTCATTGTCCGGCAGTGTTTACTTGCCAAAGGGGTCACCTGAAAATGTGTACCTTCGGTTGGCCTCCAGAACTCAAACGCCGGCCATGGTGATGGTGTGGGCCGCCATAACAGCCGATGGTCGCTCTCCGCTTGTGTTAATCGACGTGACATTAGAATAAATGCGGAATATTATCGCGAAAATATTCGAGATGGTGCACACAGTCATTTCAGCCGCACTCAGCACGCGCCACCAAAGTATGGTAACAAAATGAGGTTCCTCGCTTCATTTCCAGCGCACATTGGCCACCAAAGTCTCCGTATACCAATCCTGTAGTATTTTGGAAAGCAATGTTGGCACTAAAAAATACCAAGTGTCGATCACCCCAAGCAAGCACTTCGTCGGGAATGGGCCAAAATACCGTAAAGCAATATTTGGGTAGCGTGTGACGGTTTCATTGACCGTTTGAAGGTCATAATTCGTGCCAAAGGAGACTTATTCGAACAAATCTAAACTTAGTTTAAAACTTGATGCTATTTCCGACATTTTTTGCTTTCATTCAATAAAAGGTTAAAAAAAAAAAAATAAAAATTATGGCGTTTGACTTTGTTGCAGTTTTTTAATCTCACCCTTTATGTGTTGTAACGAACCAATTTTTAATGTTGCCAGGACGTATTGGGGCGGTGAGTGTAGATTGGAGACCAAAAATAGATAACAACAGAAGCAGAGTATCACTAGAGAGAGAGAGCGAAAGATCGTACACCACGAAGAAGAATAAAGCCAGAGGCCGATTGTGTACAAATTCGGTTTTGAGCGAATTTTGCTAGCACTCGGAAACGAGCAAAACATACTTGCTTTTGTTAGAGTGGCATATAAAAGAAGAGAACAGTCCATTTCCTCTTTTTTACCATCAGGAGTACTATCGATCGAGTAGAGAGTGAAACTCGCTCAAATTTATTTATTTATATTTTTTTGATCTCTCTATAATTTAAAATTTCTTATTCTCCAAAGTAAGTAGAAGAGACCACATGAGCTGAAACATTTCTTATATATATTATTTTACTAAAATATATAAAAATTAAAAAAAAAAGCAGCACTAAAACAAGTGTATGCATTGGAAGCAATGTAGTTGTTGTGGACAAAAAATCCATCACTACAAAAACAAAACGTTGCTGTGAAAAAGATCTGCCAATAGAACTTGAGTCGAACCTGGAGAGTTTCTAGTGTATAATTCGCATATGCTAATTTGCAATAAGTTCGAAATATATACTACTTTCCAGAGAACGGCCCTTGTAAGCCATCATCCACATCAAATATGCCTGACGAGCCGCTTAACCAACGGCGAAACGCGTCGCATAGTGGTGAGTGTGTGATAGTGTCTATCTGGCTTTCCTTTTCACTGCAAATTTCAGATCATTAAGCTCGTCTCGAAAGAGAAAACAAACACTTAAAAAAAAAATTGTCCAAAGACGACCTTTTTCGAATTTGGCATATCTCTAAGTGAGTTAAGTGAAAGTTTATGGTTTTTATATTAAGGCACTTTTCTTTGTCCTCTTCGAATGAAAAGTCCGATCAGGATCTTATAGAAAAAATCCCAGCAATTTTATACAGAATTTTAGTCAACACTTTTTATTTTAACCAAATTTCAATATCGACACATTTTGGCATGCATTTTGATAAATTTGTGATAATAAGGACGAACAGACGGACAGAACGGACTAAATTAGCTCAGAGCCTAAAGAAATTATTGTTAAAATAATGATTAAACCTAGTTGAGCTTAACAATTGGATCATTATTTTCAAAATTGTCATAATTATTATATTGTTGGTCCATTTAAATTGGGTCCTGAATTTAACACTCAATCTTGTTTCTGTTCATAATTTCTATTCCATGGAAAATGTTTTTCATCTCTAGCGTATACATGGGTTAGCTATTTCATATACATTTTTTGAATAGCTTTTTTCCGATATTGATTTTCAATTTAACTACAACTGCAACTAATTATTACGAATATTGAGTGCAACTATTAATTGATTTTAATGGATTCCATAATTTGTTTTGTATTTGTATTTCGGAAGCATATTTGTGCTAGTTCTAAATTTTTGTGGAAAAAAATCTCTTTTCAAACATACCTGATGCCAAAGAACTCAACGAGCCAGCTGTGCTGCCGCCACCCTCGTAGGCATAGTTACGCAAATCGTCGAAAGGTGGTGCATTTGGATCGCCATCGGCACGTTTTTTATGTTCTTCAATGAACATGCCAACATTTGGCTCCTGGCCGGGCATTAATGTCATTACAGGATCTATTGGGTGGGAAAAATAGAGGTGGAGGGGGAGGAAAAAAATGTAAAAATTAGTTTTCAAAAATCAATTTAAAAAGTTTAGTGGGAGTACAAATTTTGTTTATTAATTATTAATGGGACATGTAATGTAATGTAACGTACGGATTGTAAGCACAAATGCAAGAGACGAGGTGGGGTTGATAATTTCAGGAAAACACCATAATTTGTTTGGTTGTTAGGAGATTATTTTTGTTTCTTATGATTTATATATTTATTTTATTATATATTTATTATTATTTTTTTTTTTTTTTGAAAATTGCAGTTGTTTGGTGTTTTGTTTTTAAGCAAACCATCCACATCCAAAATTATGCATACCAACCTCGTTTGAAAATTTTCAAACCAATTTTTTTCTTCTTCTTTTCCAATGCTCTTCCTGTGTTGGATTATAAATTTTAAAATATGCACATTGACCTGATTTTTGTACTTGTCCCATGTTGCCATATTACCTTTTGCCATATGGTTTATGCATCGATAAAACCCCTTGCATTTTCATATTGTTACATTACATACTTACACACACACACTCATACAAACACACAATGTACTTACACATAATTGGCATTTTCATGGTGGCCAATTCTGGTGGCATCGGTCCACCAATGGGTATTTGCAATGGTGTAATATCGAATGCAGTCATATCGTCTTCACCGCCACCCTCATCATCATAGTTAATGATATTTTCGCGTACATCATCATCTGGTCCAGGATATTTGATGTGTGCCTCACGTCGACGATTATACACCACAAAGACCAGAACCAAAACTGTGGTATGAACGAAGCCAACAAGCGAGGCAAACAGGCACACACACAAACGGCACAGGAACAAACATAGAGGACAGGACAGCCAGGACAGGAATGATGTTGGTCATGGTGTATTATAATAATAATTTACACAGATGACCCCAAACAAACACGTACACAAGATTATGTTTGTAATCAGGAAAAATATGTGGGGAACATCATGGAATAGAGAGAGGGAGAACGAAAGAGAAGAGAAAACACACAACGTAAATTAATATGATTATGTAAATTTTAGTTTTTTTAATGTTTAATATTCTTTTTTCAAAAGGAAATGAAAACTTCCATGGTAAGACCATAATCTGTTTACACGAAATGCAAGTTATATAAGACTGCATTTTATGTGAAAACTACTTGCGCTTTATTATCTCTCAAAGGAGTAGGGAAAATGAAAAAAAAAAAATTAATTGCGTAATTTAAATTAGGTTTTCTTAGTAAAATATAAAAAAAGCATGCGTGATGTTAGATATTCTTAAAAAAAATATATACATTTTAATTACGTGAGCTTAAACTACTTAATATTTTTTTTAATTTATATTTTATATTTTTTTTATTACAGCCAAAAAATGTATCTGAGCATGTAATCTCAAAACACAGCAAAATGTATAATATGATAATGGTAACAAATATTCTTGATTATAAATACAGTAATTTATTTTAAATAAAAAATATGGATTGCCTAAAAGTATTCAATTCTTACCTTAAACATAAAATCCTAAAAGTATGCAATTATTTGTTGTTTCTTAACCATAACATGATATAATAATTTCACATTCATATTTTTTCAATGAAAGGTTGAAGCCTAAAAGTATGCAATTATTTCCATATAATAGGCAAATAGTTTGCTACTCTGCCATTTTAAACTCAAAATTACCAAGAAAGACTAAAATTATTTGTTGTTAAATAACTCGAAGGCTGAATGAATGCAGTTGTATTCGAAGAATAACAAGTGCTTTATATATTGCTGTTATGTTATTATTTATATTATTACAGAAATAATAGGAAATGCAGACTTTGTAGATTATAGATCCAGTTCGTTCTAAGAAAATTCGAAATGAGAACTGACGTGAGGGGAGGTATTTGGGAATTTTTAAAAGAAAACCTTTTAATTTCATATTTTTGAGACCTAATCTCTGACCTTTTGCAAGGTCGTCGATTCTGCGGCTAGAAAATTTTCGGAGTTTCATAAAATTAATTATGTATCGACTGTCCCAGGTGGATGTTATTTCAATTAGATCGTTTGGCATCAATCGATGGAAAATGTTGTCAGAACGGGTAGAGCCTCAATTCCAAAGCTATCCTATCGAAAATTCCAATCGACTTAGCCAACAAGTTAAAAGGTATCAGTCGGCTTTTCTGATAAATGTATACCCTAACCTGACTTGCTATATGACCATTAAAAATGTTGACCCAATTTTGAGGTGGTTCCAAAAAAGTGGACCAATATTATCCATTTCGTATCTGACCTAAGTCTGATATAAATATTACAAAGTGCCAGATTTGGACTATATGGACTACTTCCTTCAGTTTATACGAGATGTCTGTTATCATTTTTGCGAAATGTTGAAATATTCGTGAGTTACTAGATACAGTGGACCGAAGTGTTTCACTTCATCCAATACTGAAAATAAAAAATATTTCCAATATTGTGCGAATATTTTTTATCAAAATTATAATCTTTTAAAGGTCCTAAAATTGAGACGAAAAATTCCATATTCGCAACATATCTCTGGTTGAGAGAAACATTTAGATATATCAAATCTAAATAGAATCTGTGACATGTTTCACAAGTTATGAGGGATACAAGTATTGAAAATTGTGAACCTTTGTAGGGGAAATTCTAGAGAGAGTGAGCCGAAATCTACAATCTTCACAACAAAACTTATGTAGAAGTACTGGGGTGTGCTAAGTTTGAAAGAATCGGATGCGAATTTATAAACATTTTGGTTATTAAAAATGTTAACCCCTCTGTGGAGAGGTGCCGGAGTGCTCCGATGTCTAACCATCCTTACACCCGATCTGGTGTGAATAAATATATTAGGATGTTTAAAAGTGGAAGAAAATCAAATACCTGTTTCGCTTTTTTGAGCATTTTGGTTAATCAAAATTTTAAATCTTCGTGGGGGAGGTCTGCGAGTAGGGAGTACCGGACTGAGTGCACCGATATACCATTTTCACACCACAACTTTTAATGATGGAAATATTGTGATATGTAAAATTGGAAAATAATCGTTTTGGTTATTCAAACTTGTGACACCTTTTTGGGGAAGTTACCATAAGGAGTGGACCGATATAACCCAGATATCCTTAGTTTGAAAGTAATCGGATGTACATTTCCCGTTTCATGAGCTTCATAGTTCTTCAAAATGTTGATCCCACCATTTTTACACCAGATCCGGTGCCAATATAAATATTGGAATGTATTATTTTTGGAAAGAATCAAAAGCTTACTTCGCATATAAGGTAAGTCATAATTATGAACCGTAATGGGGAATGAACCAGAAGCAGTGGTCCGATATATTCATCTTCGGAATGTGTCGAGTAAAAGTGATTGGATGCTTATACCGCGATTTTGAGCTTCATGGTTGTTTAAAATTTTTAACCTTTGTGGGGAAGGTACCAGAAGGAGTGATCCATTTTATCCGTTCTTCATATCCGATCTTGTCACAAAAGTCCGTTCTTCATATCCGATCTTGTATTGGTGTAAATATTGAGATGTGAAAAAATTGCCACAAAAGTGAATGAGCTAAATTATATTCTATGAAAATGTTAACCCTTGTGGGGGAGGTACCAGATGAAGTGGACCCATCTCCGAAATACATCTATGTTTGACAGCCAGCAGACAGACGAATACCCCTAGTTCGACTTCAAACGGATTTGGTCCAAAGAGACCTAGTGCCTAAAACCGTTATTCCGATGAGGTACATTTTTGCCGTATCAAATGAAATATACCCTCTGTAGTCATATGGCTGAAGGTATAAAAATGTTGACCTTTTGTGCGGAAGGTACCAGAAGGAGTGGACAGATGTTGTCCATCTCCGAACTCTTGGATACTGCTTTTGAGAGATATCATGATACTGCCTTTGAGAGATATCATGATTACCAGACAGACGGACCCCTAGAACGGTTCTAAATATCCTGAAAAAGATTTTATTTAAATAGACTTAAAGTGTAAAAGCGTCATTTCGATGAGGCACATTTTGTCCATATGAAATGATATATATCCTCTGTGAGGGTATGTGAGGGCATAAAAAGTCACCAAATTTTATTTAAGGTTTTTTGTTCTTTTGACGTTAGAGTTACGATCCTGGCAACTTTGTATTTTTTTGAAAGTCATTAACTAAGACATTAGGCACATTTTCGTAGTTGGTAGTTACATCGAATTTCTCACGGTTTTATATCCGTAGACCAATAACTGAGATAAAATTATGAAAGCAATTTGACCTTGACGATTTCGACTATGAAGATGAAGTTTGATGAAAATAATGTATTGCAGATTTTTACTCCTTGTGACATGAGCTACAATGTTGCCTTCGAGATCAAGTCAAAATTCTCAACGGTTTCAAAGATATGAGCCTGACAAAATGACCTCTTTTGACATCAAGGTCTTACATTTTTGGGAGTCCATAACCTCATGAGAACAAGTGATGGGGAAAAATGACAAGACATATGTCTTTTAATATTTGTTTTTTTTTTATCAAACTGCAGTTAATTGTAAAAAAATTGTCTTGAAAAAAAATTATTTTCAACATTCTTCAATTCTTTTATTTAACAAAAAAGTGTATGTTATCCAGAAAATCTTCAAGCATTGTGTATGAACTCTTACACAATTTCATTTCATAATCCTTTCTATATCGCATTTATATTTCTCTTTCATACTTAAAAACTTAAATAAAAAGTCTCAATTGAATACATTCAAATCTAAACCGATCTCCAACCCAATTCATTTAGTGACAGTTCAATAACCATAAACAAATTCCATTTAAATGAAGATTGAATGAATCATGTCATCTAAATGACTCTCATTGATGTGGATGCCAGCTATTGAGTGTCATAACACAAAGTATGCAATCGGTTTTAGAAAGTTATAAAGAGGCCAGTGTTCACTTCCAGTTCAATAAAGTTTTGTTATCAATAACAAAATACATGTATAGAATGAAGTATAACTTCAGGCTAGAGTATTTGCAATAAAAACCTAAAAGTATGCAATGGATTTTATGGGTTTTTATATAAAAATTTTCTAGTGTTCAAATTATTGCCGTTTGAATGAAAAAATACAAATTTAGGGGATATCTTCCTTTTCTATCTCAGAAAGCCTTTGGGAGAAAAGTTATTTTTAGACAATTTTTATGGCAGACATGTGCAAAAAAATCGTCGCAAAATTAAGGCTCGTTTACACACCACATTAAAGTCTTAAGGGTGAGATGAAAAAACTGCAGCCAACTTCATACTGCTGTCATTTCTAAGCCACTCGTCCGACAGCTGTTGAAATTATTCCAGTGACAGCTAATTATATTGTTTACACGCATACAAATGCATTTTGGAGAGAATGTTCCAGAAAAAAAGTAATTCGTGATGGAATTCAGGCGTGATAGTGTGATTTATTTATATTTGGCTGGAAGACCAAAAGTGCCTATCGTTAGAGCACTCCAGCATTTAAATGGGAATAAATCTTTTGTGTCTCGTACTATTGCTCGTTACCGTGATACTGGTAACGTAGCCCGACATTAAGGAAGTGGACGGAAGAAAATAGCAACAGAAATCAGCAGAAATGATTCGAAAAATAATGAAGCGACTCGATCGATACCCGCGTCGCATTGGCCGAAAAATGGCTCGTGAGCTGAACATATCGCAATATTCCATTAACCAAATATTGAAAAATGAGCTCGCGGTAAAGCCATTGAAATTCCAAAATATGTAAGAACTTACACAACAAAAGGAAGAAAATAGACTCAAATGAGCTA